AGGCTGGCAGTGGGGGCAGTTGGGGGCAACCAGGCCAGAGGGGGTAGGGAGTCAGTTAGGGGCAACCAAGCCAGCAGTTAGGGGTGACCAGGCAGGCAGGCAGGCGAGCAATTAGGAGCCAGTGGTCCAGGATTGTGAGATGAATTGGGATCAGGCCTAAATAAGCAATCAGCCATCCCCCAAGGGGTCCCAGATTGGAGTGGGTGCAGGCTGGGCTGAGGGGACTCCCCCAACCCCCACAGATTTTATGCACCAGGCCTCTAGTCTATATATATAAAAGCCTATGCGAACGTTCCACCATTTGACCAGCTATGACATGCACTGACCACCAGGGAACAGATGATCAACCCACAGACATGGAAACATGAGACTGATGAACCTCAGAGGGAAGAGGGGAGGGTGGAGGGTGGGAAGAGATTAACCAAAGATCTTACGCGTATATGCACACCAGAAGCCCAATATAAGGATCCCGGCACTGGTGGAACCTCTTGGCCTGGCCTCTAGGTATCAGGCTGAAACTGGCAGTCTGACATCCCCTGAGGGTCCCAGATTGGCAGGACGAGAGACCCCACCAGGGCACAAATCCGTGTACCGGGCTTCTAGTGTGATATAAAATAGTCACAGGTTCTTGGGATTAGGATGTAGACATTCTGGGCGGGGAGAGGGGGGAATGTTATTCTTCCTACCATGGTTTTCCAGTGCCTGATCATCCTGGTTGTCAAGGACTTCGTCACTATTGATCCCAATATACTCTCCTGCCTTACCCCGAAACTCTGCTCTTTGTAGCCTCAGTTCCAGCCACACCAGTCTATCGGCTGATCCCCCCCAAAGACCCCATCCTGGAAGAGCTCCACGACTGTACTGGCATTTTCTCCTCCTTCGTACCTCGCCCCCTTTCCTCCCAAAATGAAACTTGCATTCATTCTCAAAACTGTGGCAGGTGTTTCATTTTCCGTGAAGCTTTACCCCTAACCTTTCTTCTCTAGATGTTTATATCATAGCAGAGAGAGAGAGAAGAAAAAAAAAAAAAAAAAACTCAGAGCAAAAATGAAACATATAGCTTCTAATCACCCACTTTCTCTGGTTCTACATATAGAAGGCCGGTTTTAAAAATTCACAATTTCTTTGCCATCCAATGTATATGTTGATGCAAAAGCAAACGTCTGGAATTGCCAAAGTTTTTCTCATTTATATTTAACCAATTTATCACTTTAAATTTCCACACTACAATTGATCCTTGAACAGCATAGGGTTAAGGCAGTGGTCGGCAAACTCATTAGTCAGCAGAGCCAAATATAAATCAACAGTACAACGACTGAAATTTCTTTTGAGAGCCAAATTTTTTAAACTTAAACTTCTTCTAACGCCACATCTTTTGACTCGCCCGGGCCGTGGTATTTTGTGCAAGAGCCACACTCAAAGGGCCAAAGAGCCACATGTGGCTAGTGAGCCTCGGTTTGCCGACCACGGGGTTAGGGACACCAACATTCCACACTAGTCGAAAATTCATAGACACTATTTGAATCTCCTTAAACTTCACTAATAGTCTACAGCAGACCAGAAGTCTTAGCAATAACAGACAGTTGGTTAGCACATACTGTTTCTAGGCCATATGCTAAATGTATTATATACTGTATTCTTGCAAGGGAGTAAGCTAGAGAAAAAAAATGTTATTAAGAAAAATTATAATGAAGAAAAATACATTTACTGCATTACTGAAAAAAATCCATGTATAAGTGGACCCATGAATTTCAGACCCATGTAGTTCAGGGGTCAACTATCATTTTAAATGACTTTCTTCTTGTTCTTCAGAATTTCCTTGAGTCCCTCCTTTTATACCAGTTGCCTCTATTCATTCAGTAGCATCAGTAAATCTTTTGACCTAAAAACACAATCATTAATCATGATGAATCCTTTTGGTTCTTATTTTAGTTTTCTTGCAAAATAGATGAGGACATTTTATAAGGCAGTAGTTTGGACCCTGTCTATACATTAAAACCACTTCCAGAACTGTTTCATTAATGCCCAGGCCATCTGAGATCAAGTCTGAATTTCTGAGGGCTGGACCCAGTGAGAAATTTTTTAAAGCTTCCCCGGTGATTCTAACGTGCAGTTATAGTTAAGAATCAAAGTCCGTGGCCCACACAAGTCACCAAGAAATAATGCAGCAGTGGAACAGCAGCAAGCAGAAGCTGATCCCAAATTTAGATTTTAATAGAATCAACTCACAGATCAGATATTGCCCTTTAACATTGTGTTACCTGACTGGATACAGCAATCACTTTAGATAATGATATGAATTAAAACATACATAAGTTGAACAAGACTTGAAGATATTTTAAATAAAGTATTAGTCAAAAGTCAAATTTATTCATGCCATCTCCTTTAGTACTCTACGGCTTAAGAAGTTATATATTTGCAATATGTTTTCCTTTCCCTGCCTTTTCCTGTAATTAAGACAACAAAGTGAAAGGAGGGGGACAGGCCTTGTTCTCTTTTTCCTAAGAAGTGATTTCCTGCATGATTTCGTGTGGTTGTGGGTCATGAAGACCAGATGTGGGGCGAGTAGGATCCATGGCACTGAAGGGAACCCAGATATTGCAGACAAAGGGGGGGCGGGGAATAGGCCTTCAATAACGTGGTAAGGTGAGGCAAAAACAGTGACGTAAGCAGCCAGAATGCAAGGGCCCTGAGCAGTGGGTCTTGCCTGGTAACAAGGGCACTGTGCAAACATTCTGCTTATGACTCTGGCACAATGTTTCCGTTACACTGAATTTTTCCATTACGAACTGCTTATGAGAATTTCCAAACTGAGCATTTCATTGCCCCAAAGTAGAAAGGTGAGTATAAAAGGACAAACGTGTGTTCTATAAATGCTACAAAGCAATCATAATTTGGATAAAGAGGTACATACTGATTTGGCTGAGGAAACTTTGACTAAATTAACTGAGATGTCATTATTTTCTGTAATAGAGATAGATGGTCCTCTTGTTCTGTTATTTCTTGAATAACTTGATACCATGTTATTTTGTTCAGATACTTCTTCAAAACAATGGTTGTTGCTAGGATCTGAACTAGTACTGGGAGAAAATAGACTATTTGTAACAAAAAGAGATAGGGAAAATTGTAGTATTACATAAAGCAGTATGACAACTTCCAACTGATTTAAAAATCTATGTCCTAATGATCTCAATTTACTTTTTATGCTAGATGCTTCAAAATTGCATGGAAGTTGGGAGGCAGCCTTTTTGAAGTAAATGCTAACTTTTCAATGTCTTGATTAAATATCAACCATTTGCTCATTTATGTACATGCATCTTACTAATGACTGAACCACTATCTTAAACCAATTAGCAATGCTTCATTAATTTTAACAGCACTTCCTAAATGATACACTACCATATAATTTCTAAATCACTATTACCCGCATGGGAACTTGCCTTTTACATTAATGGTTAAATCTTTTTTTTAAAAGGTGATGTTTCTAAAACCCCAACATTTCTTTTGAAATTCCTGAGCATTAAGCAGGTTAATTTACATTTGTCTTTGAAACACTGCTTCTTCAGGACTTTGAACACTGTACTCTTATCTGAATTCTGTATGTCCCTGTTTGTTTATATGTTCTCTTCATTTTTAAGGTTAATGAATATACATTTGTCAGCAGGGCCATCTTTTTTAAGAGGAGTCATAGTTTTTTTTTTAAAGGTACTCCTTTGTAAAAATTTCCCAAATTTAAGAATTTACTGTTTAGAAACAAGACCAGGGGTTTTGCCCCAGAGAAATCATAAGTTTATGTTAAATACTTAAAAAATATACTAATATATACTTTTTCTTCTTTTGGATTGATATAATTGTATCTAGTCACATGTAACGAAGTTTTCCTGTGTACACAAGATTTACCCACTTTTGGACTGGTGTCAGTCTTGATCTTCAAGCAAAGCCCCCGTAGAGGGAAAATGCCAGTAACTTTAAAAGAAGATGCTCATCTTCACTTTGATAGCTAAGCCACAAGAATATTTAAAAAGACCAAGAGAAGAGGAAAGAAAACCCTTCTTGCAGAAGCAGGTGCACTACAAAGCTCAATTAGTTCACGGACTGAGGACACAGCTTTTTATAAGTTTTTTCTCCACTGGGAACAGTTTTTTGAGTCTTCCTCTCCCTGCTCTCCACCCCTCCAGTCCTAACTAGGTTTTTTTTCTTTTTTGCTTGTGAGAAGGGAAAAAAAAAAAAAAAAAAAAAAAAAAAAGTGGCCAGGAAAGGAGTATTCGGTGCATTTACCGCCGGTTTCCTATTTTCAGTACCTTTTACCCTTCTCTAAATGGCTTCCCACTGTCCCTAGCCACAGAACCGCTAGGCTCCCTCTAGGTCTTTTTGTGAATCTATTTCATGAAAACTTTGGGTCCTCTGTACCCAGAGGACCTATGCAGAATTTCACATTTGATCCTATATCATTTATCAACCCTCCAAAGCTCACCTTCGGACCCTAAGTTAAAATGTTTGTCTGGGAGTCAAAAGGCAAGAAGCCCTCGAAAACAACTTTCAAGGGGCTCAACCACCTCCTCCTCCTTGCAAGGCTAGCGGGAGCTCGGACTTGGACCAGAGGAGGTGGATCCCAGCTACCCACTGGCTGGCTGGCTCGGATCAGAGGAAAAGTTAACTTCCCGCTCCTGGCTCCTTGCATTTCTCCAAAGCCCATCCAGTCTGCGCCCGACCCGCCCTGGGCCAAGGCCTCAAAATCTGAGTGCGGGCAACACAAGTGTGTACAGAAAGCGCCAGGGCAGCCCCAGGGCACCGCGGATCTCGGCACACAAGCCCCCCTCCAGGGCCGGCCCGGGCTCCCGAGGCACTTTCCGCAGGTTTCAGCCTCGGATGCCCGGTCTCCTCCTAGCAACGCGCGCGCACTCCGCCCCAAGCCGCGCGGGGTGCACCGCCGCCGAGGCTCCCCCAAACCCCAAGACCTGGGCGGGCGCGAGGCGTCCCCCGCGGCGGGGGGTCCTTACCTTGGGGTTGGCCAGGAGCTGGTGCTCGTCGCTGTGCAGCAGCGCGCGGGCGTTGGACTCGGAGTTGTTCACGTAGACCTGCACGCAGGGGTACTGCGCGGTGCCCCTGCAGTCGGCGCCACAGGTGAAGGTGCACTCGAACAGCTCGCCCAGCTGCTGCACCGACAGCACCGTGCAGTTGGCCGCCGTGGCTTGCAGGTCCTGCAGCGCGGGGCTGAGCCAGCAGAAGCCGAAGATGAAGAGCGACACGACGCCCGAGATGATGAGGAACAAGCCGAGCCGGATGCTCTTGTCCTCGGCTTCCGTGTACTCGTAAGCCACCCGGAGCTTCGCCATCGCCCCCCGCGCCCGCCGGCCGGCGCGCTCCCCCCGCCCGCCCGCCCCCTCCCTCCGCCCCCGGCGCCCAGCCCCACGGCCCGGGCGGGAGGAGCCGCCGCCGCCGCCGCGACAGCCGGGGAGTGGGCGGCGGGAGGCAGCGCGAGAACAAAGGCGCCGAGGCCGGCGGCGCCCCCGGAGGCGGCAGCGCCCCCGCTCCCCGCCCCGCCGCCGCCGCCGCGCTCACAGCCGCCGGGCCCCGCACCCGCGGGCGCGAGGAGCGCCCCGGCCGCCCCGGCCTCCAGCGCCCCCTGCCAGCCGCCCGCGCGCCCGCCCGGCCGCCCCCGCCCGGGGCCTCCCCGTCCGCATCGCGTGCCGGGCAAGCTGCCCCGAGGGCAGGAGCGGCTGGTCCGAGGGAGCAGGAGGGGGTGGGGGGCGGCACCCCGAACCCGAGGCGGCCCCGCCCAGCCGCTGCCTCCGGGGACCCAGCCGCCCCGCCCCGCCCCGCCCCGCCCCGCCCCGCCGGGGGCGTCTCCGGGGGTTGGGGGGCGGGGGGGTCCCGGGGCCGCGGGCGCCGAAGACAGCGGCTGGGGATGGTCCTCCTTCAGTTCCTTTGCAGCGACGTCCGAGACGAAAGCGTAGGGTCAATGTGGCCGAACGGGAGTGAAAGTTAAAAGAAGAAGAAGAAAAGCAAGAGGGGGCGTAGCGCACCAGAGCGGCGGGAATCTTGAACCCAGAGGATCGGCGGCAGCGGGGAGGGAGCAGCGGGCGCTCCGGGAAGCCGGCGGCCGGAGCGGGACCGGGGTGGCAGCCCCGCGGGCGGCGGTGCTGGGGCGCCCGGGAGGGACCCCGCCACCGTTCCCACGCTCCGGGACCCCGCCGCTGCCTCCTCCCTCCTTCCCCTCTGCCCCCTGGGCGAGCGCGGTGTGTGTCTGCCCGCGGGGTCCCGGGGCTCCCACCGCGGGGCTGGCGCCGGGGGCACAGAGGAGGGCATGGGGCCGGCCAGCGGGGTCTGCGGTGCAGGCAGCGCGCCTGGGGGCGGGGGCTGCGGCTGGTGAGGCCGGGACCCTCGCTGTCTGCATCCCAGTGACTTCGCAGCAGCTTGTTTCTTGCAGTTGGTCCACCCACTTCGATTGGCCCCACGGCTGGGACTGGCTGAGCAGGGGGAGAAGGAACCCGGTGGAGAAGCTTGCAGCCCTGGGAGGAGCCGCCACTGTCTCCGTGAGGACCGGCCCCTCGCTCGGGACTCCCGAGAACAGCACCCTTCCTCGCTCGGCCCGCCCGCCCGGGGCTGTAGAGGGGCGTCCCCGGGGCGCTGCGCAAGGGACCCGCTTTGGGACAGGTACTGCTCCAGAGCTGCGTCCTGCTCTCAACTCTTCCGGCTGCTCTGCCACCACCACCTTTTCGAGCCTTCTTCCTTCAGCCACTATTCATGACTCTTAAATTTTTTTTAAATTTATATATAAATAAATAAATAAATAAATAAATAAATAAATAAATAAATGAAATCTACTCATATATATGATTTCAGAGAGGAAGGGAAAGGGAGAGAGAAATAGAAACATCAATGATGAGAATCATTGACCAGCTGCCTCCTGCCCGCCCCCAACTGGGGACCCAGCCCGCAACCAGGACATGTGCCCTTGGTCTGAATCTAAGCCGGTCCCTTCAGTCCACAGGCCTGCGCTCTATCCACTGAGCCAAACCAGCCAGGGCCATGACTTCTTTTTTGAAATTAAGATTAATTTTTTTCAAACCACACTCTATCCTAATATCAAACTAGAGGATGACTTCGGCCTCTTTAGGTAATCAGAATGTTCTCTTCTTTGAAAAATATGTAAACATAACCTTTTCTTGACTTACACGTCTTGAATCAGTTATGTTCCTAATGAATATGAAAACACCCAATTAAGGAATTCTTGATGTCTCTTTCTTGGATTTCAATTGCTACTTCACTGGTACTGAGTACCTTTCAGCTGGGGCAGAGCAGATTTAAATACAGGAAGACCCCAAGAGTTTTTCTGAATAAATTAAGATCTGGGGTTTGGAAATTTTTCAACTTTTTACTTTTCAAGTTTTGAGAGAGTAGATTTCCTTTATTTATTTATTTATTTATTTATTTATTTATTTATTTTAACCTTGGGATTATGTTACAGCTTCACCTGAGAGAGTTCTTCAGTCTGGATCTCTTTCCTATTGAGGTTATGAATAATCTTCCTTTTGGGAAGGCTAAAGCCAGTCTAGACATAAGATCCAGCTATTCTAGCTTGGTATGCTGAGCAACTTAACCTTGAGGCAGAATTAACTCCTATTAGAGTTCAGAAAACAAGGATGGGATGTCTAAATATAATTTAATTAACATGATTCATTTTTCAATGAATGAACCCTCTGCCTCAAATCTGAAGATGGTCTTCCCAGTCTAGAAAAAAAAAAAAAAAAAAAAAGAAAAGAAAGAAAGAAACTTCTGTTTGTTCTTTTAATATATTTTATTGAATTTTTAGAGAGAGGAAGAGGGAGGGATAGAGAGTTAGAAACATCAATGAGAATCATCCATCAGCTGCCTCTTGCACACATCCTACTGGGGATGTGCTCTCAACCAAGGTACATGCCCTTGACTAGAATCGAACCCGGGACCTTTCGGTCCGCAGGCCAACACTCTATGAGCCAAACCAGTTTTGGCCAGAAACTTCTCTCTTAATTTAACCTAAAATTTTCAAGGGCTTTCAAATTCCCCTCCCCCTTTTTTTAGTTCTTCATTTAGTCACTTTCCTTCCTTTAATGATTCTTAAAGTATTGGAAGAAACTGTTGCCAGCTAGCCTTCCATTCTTTAAACATTTACTTTTCTTCTCTAATTTCCTACTTTTAAACTAATTGGCTTTTCCTCTGAACCCTTTAATTATCATGTCTTTCTTATAGAAAGTCAAACATATAAAAAAAGACTTCACAAATAAAGTATTTATTTTACCCTTAATACAGACAACACGATGTTTGCTATTAGCTTCTTTTTCTTGAGGTGGGGCTGCCTTACCACATTTCCAAGGAGGATTAGATATGTCAGCCCCTTAATGTCTGAAAAGGGATCACAATTGACTAAATCAGAATAGAAATAAGAACTCCAGGGACCCTACCCTTATGGAGGGCAGAGTCAGCCCAGAAACACACACACACACACACACACACACACACACACACACACACACATCCTTTCTTTGCATAATTTTCCACAAATTAAAATTAAGATTAAAAATGTTATATTCAAGATGCAGACTGACTTATTTGATGTACATCACAGTGTGCCACAGTGCTTTCAGGAAAATCATGGCCACACCTTGATGAAATTCTTTTTTAAAGAAAAAGGCCAGTGTAAGCAAACATCAAAGCCATTGTTACTTATAATTCGTTCTCATCATCAATATTCTTCAAGAAGTCCTGTAGAGCCCTGGTGGGTAGCTCAGTTGGTTGGATTGTCATCTCAATACACCAGGGTTGCAGGTTCAACCCCTGGTCAACTTCAAAGAGTCAACTGATGAATGCATAAATACATGGAACAAGTTGATGTTTCCCCCTCTTTCTCTTAAATATCAGTCAAAAGTAAAAAATTTAATAAGCATAACTACTGGACGCAAGGCACTGGGGGTGGGGAGTAAGGGCATGTGCTGGGGGGTAGAGGAGGCAGGGGGGAGGTCAATGGGGAAAAAAGGAGACATATGTACTATTTATAATACTTTAAACAATAAAATATAATTTAAAAACAAACAAAATGTAGTCAAACATGGCAAACTACTGAAGACAGTGCATGCACAAATAAAGTGTGAGGAACTACAAAAAAAAAGTAAACAATTAAAAAAAAAGAACCTGTGACTGATGTTAAAATTGCAATATATAATTGCATATGTATATATACCCTTATTAAAGGATTCTAAAAAGAATTATTATAAGGAGGGCTTTGGTATCCTAGGAATAGAAAGGAATTCAGAACATGTTGGGAAAATGTTTATACACTGGCATATTGGGAAGTTTTTCAATAGCAAACTGCTACTGTATACTTTAATAGCTAAAATACATAAGGGAGAAAATTCATGTTTCACACCTTTTTTTCGTTAGAATTGACATTCTGGATAGATTTTAGATGTTTTCAACTAGACTACTTAGATAAGAATAAACAAATGAAACCCTGGCCGGTAGCTCAGTTGGTCAGAGCATCTCCCCATAGGTCAAGGTTCCATTTCCGTCCCCAGCCAGGGCACATACAGTAATCTACCTATGAATATGTAAGTAAATGGAACAGCAAAAATTGGTAAAATTAAAAGACTAATGAAAGTATGAATGATCCAACAAAAAAGTTATAATCAAATTTTAACATTTTGCTTTCCACTTATATAATTGTAGTTTTTGTTATTGACACAGAAAATGACATTTGGTTTAAAAATGTGCCAGAAGCCAATTCCAGCATGGCACCAGGGCTGATTCATCTGGAGATGGCTAAAGGCATTTCCCCAAACCTGAAAAGGATACATAAATTGATTGCTTGCTGCCAGACAGCTGAGGGCATTTCAGTCTACATGTTATTGCCTCCTACAGGCCAAACACTTGAACAGCCATAGGCAAATTCTTCCAATGGACTCTGCAGACCAAACCCTACCCTTTGATGTGTAAATCTCCACCTTGCCTTAGAACAAATTGTGTTAATAAAAAGCAAGGGGTCCTGAGACAGAGAGAACTTAGTACCTTTAGCTAAGTCTTCTTTGACTCCCTATAATGCCTTCCAAAATTATGTTTCGTCTCTGAACTCTTGATTAATTACACAGCGCCTTCTCCAGGTTGCTGAGCCCTTCTAGATGCCAGATCAGAAGCCTGGCAAAAAATGTTTGCATTGTTCTAAATCATTTCCAGTGTACTGATATCAAGAAATTAACTTTCTTGCCCTGGTCAGTTGTGGCTAATTGGTTGGGCATCATCATGTGCACGAAAGGGTTGTTGATTCAATTCCTGGCCAAGGCCACAAGCCCCGGTTGCAGCC